CCCCGACATCGACCCCGACGACTCCTCCGAGCCCCCCTCACCCTCACGTTCCTCCTCGCGATCCTGGGCCCCATCATCATCCCCGTGAGCAACCTCGGTCCCGGTCACCCCCTTTCCTGCGGCCGCATCGGCCTCGTCGACGCCGACTCCCGACTTGCCACGCGCATCAGCGACGTTCCGGGCGACCCCTACTGGCACGGATGCAGAATGGACTTCCTCGCCGTCGTCGTCACAGGCGTCGGCAGCAACAACGGTTTTCCCCGACCGTATGAGCGGGACTTGCTTCTTGATGAGGGCTACCATCTCGTTCCGCAGCGCCTTCAACCCCGAGACGGTGGGCTTGTCCATGCTGGTGGCAATGCGACGGAGGTCGCCGGTCAGGCGCTGGAACCGCCTCACAACCCAGATCAACGCGCTCATTGCTAGCAGGCCGGAGCCCGCGTCCGAGTCCCGGACGGTATCGGGAATTTTCTGCATACAACAGTGCAGAGAGCAAGGATGAGGGCGGCGTAGATGTGACACCATATGACGGCGAATCGTCCGTAACTCACATCTCGAAGGGGTTCGTTGCAGTCGGCGAGCCTCTCCTGCACCTCGTCTTCGGACGGCTTCGCCCACTCCCATTTCCTACCCTCGCGCCGCAGCTCGGCCAGAACAGCGGTCCGGAAAAACCTGCAAAAGCACGGCAAGGACGGTCGGTTAGCACGGTGCACGCGTCGTGTCGACAATGTATGCGATGTCGACTAAACTATCGAGCTCACTTCAGCACGCGGATCGCCTCGTCGCGGTGCCACTCCTTCACTGTCTGCGGGTCGGCGTGCCGGATCGAGGTCCTGACCTCCTGCCCCGAGGCATTGAACAAATCGCCGGGGCACAGGATGAGAACGACGCTGCAATGTGCTCCCGGAAGCGGTGCGATGCTGCACAGACAAGGCACGTCGATGGCGCTCAGAACAAATCACCGACACAGGTTGCAGCACACAGCAGGACCTCGAACCTGCTCACCTCGATATCAGTGGGATAACCGCCACGTCGGCGTCGAAAATCGTCGCAAAGCATGTGTGGTCGTCCTGACCCATCGCCGCCCGAAGCCGGCCGACTCCTATCGACCACAATCGCTCGCCTGCATCCGTTGAGCGGATCCATGCGTGCCTGCACGCATGCATGATTACAACAGATTAAAGAGGTATAGGTGCGCGACACGACGGTGGAATGACGGGAGCCGAACGACTTCGGCACAACTCAGCGTCGTCGACGACCTAACGCATTACGTCGGCATCACCGATGTGATGTGCCTGAACTCTAAGCCCGTCGACATATACTACTGGACGCATTGAAACCCCGCCATGGCCGACCAGCATGGAATAGGCCCGTCGACGACGACATCTCCATAAGACACTCACTTGAGACCGAGTCCCAAGCAACGGGCGTTAAACTCTAGCATAGGGTTTGTCAGAACGGCGTAGTCGTGCTCTTCGAGCTTGGCCGTGTGTCCTCTACCGATGTCTAGATGCAGGGGGAAATCTAGCGAGGTCGGCGCCGCTTCGGCGGCTTTCTGGCCGGCTGCCATGGCGGGAGAGCGAGGATGCTATGCTACAGGCTAAGGGAAGAAGCGGTGGGAGTATGGAAGGCGCCGAGGTGGGAGGAAAAATGAAAGAGAAACGAGAACGCGAAAATGAGGGGCCAGTCCACCTCCAGCGAAGAAAAGCCAGGCGGAGCCACGCAGGCCCGGTTGAGCGTCGCCCAGGGGGCCGTGATGCCTGGCTCGGCAGGGCTCGTGCACAAGTTGCGTGGCACAAGTGCACCCTCGCCGCCGAGCCAACAGGTCGACGTCACGTGCCCCGGCCTCGGTCGGCCAGGGGACGCAACTTCGCGTGGGCGCGGTGCGACGTTTCGGCACCACGTGTCGATTTCGCAGAGGGTCGCGAAAGCCGTGCGCCCCGTGGCGAACGACCCAGGTTTTCGCTCGAGTTTCGGGGGGTACGAAATGTCTCATGCACGCGATGCGAAATGACGGGCGAGCACGTGGCGTCACCGCAACGGGTCGCGAAATAGTCGAGCGACCCGAGGGGAGCCCCCGATTTTCGCGTGGACCTCGCCTGCCCGTACGGGCAGGCCGCGATGGGTTACTAGGGCCTCGCGGGCACGAGGGAGGGGTGGGCTGCCTTCGCGGCAGGGTTACTTCCCCTCGCCCGAGGTCTCGCCAGCTCGCCGCCCCCACCCGGTAACGTGGGTCGCTGTTCACTCTCGGGGGGGGGGGTTGCGGGGCGGCGGTCGTGCGCCCGGCCCAGCCCAGGGCCAGGCTGGCGGGCCCGCACGCGCGTCACTCGCCCGCCTCGTCAGACCCCTGTCCGTCGACCCCCCTCGTCGACCCTGGCAACTCGATTCCGTCGACCTCATTCCGCTGGGATCTTCTGCTTGAACCTGGGATCTAAAATCGCATCTGCAGAAATTCCCTGGCGTTATAGCAAACGCACCTATAGCGAGTCATGAACCAGATAAGATGTTGCTGACTCGTCAGAAACAGTGTCACTCTGAAGGTGTGGTGTCACAAATGGATGTGACAGCGCGGATTGGTTTAGACATCCTCGCGAACAGAAACTCAGACCGATTAGGGTTTCCGTTTTTCGCCTAGCTTCGTTGTGGCCTGTCTGAACCCTCTAGCAGTGGTACATTCCAACCCACACGAGATTTTGACGATCTCGCAAACCCAGTCGCCAACATTTGGTGTGCGAGATGCTTTTCCCTCCCTCAGCTAGTCAAAATCCACCCATAGCTCAATATGCGTTGTTTTTCTCTTGCACGATCTCATTCTCCATTCTCTTCACTTGCTTATCTAGCACGGTGCTGTGGCTTCTGGTGTCTATCCGTTCCTCTCAATTGGCCCCGTTTCTAACATATGTCCCTATTTCCTGTTCTTACACCTTCTCTTTAGCAGGATATCGAAAGTCCGGGGTGGTGGACAATTAGTGCTGTGATGGCTGCATGAAACCCGTTATTACGCTACCTTCTCACACCCTACGCATGCCGGTCCATTCTTGTGAGTTTCTGTTCCAGGTACGTAAGCATTGGCTAATGCGACCTTTTGAGCACCTCTTTCTTTGCAGAATGCTAGGGCTCATCACAAGGCTCTACATCAGCGATTTCCGAGACTATCGTCAAGCGTCCGTGAATATTATTGGCCATGTAACAGTTTTATTTTTCGAGAAGTTGAATCGCCAATCTATCGCCGAGTTTATCACGGTTTCTGGAGGTGCTTCCTGCGGTGCAGGGCGGAGCTTATAAACGGCATACATGATTGGTAGGTTCATGTCACAGGAGTCATTTTTCTAACTTATTTCTGCTGTGTGTGTTGGTGCTCGGTGCAGAGCCCGCTTCCGGTCCGAAATAAGCTACTCGTATCGGGATGTTACAAATATTGTGTGTGGATTTGTTGTGCGGGGGTATTTATCTAGGATGTTAGGTTTTTTCTTCTTTTTATAAATTGGTAAGGCAGGCTAGGTCTTGTGACGATGGCTGTCATCGTTGTAATGTTGAGTTCAAATATAAGACATGAGGAACCATGACAAGTGTTAGCAGAAACCTAATTCATGAGTGTCACGATTGGATATTGGCACCCAATTGGCAGGCTGTAATATGTGATTTCCAGTTTAAACTGTTTTAATGATCACATTCCATGCTTTCAATAGGAGAAAATACAAGCGCTTGTATTTTCTCCTATTGAGAGCATGGAATGTGATCATTGATCCGCTATAGTAACTTATTGTAAATGTTCTCCTGGTTGCTATAGTGAGGATGAGCAATGTTCGCGATGTGCTGAATCGCTCATCGGAATTGAGGGTGACGCACCCCTTTTGCCTGGGACGACGCAGGGGGGTGACGGTCGACCGAGCGTCAGGGCGGCCAACTCCCTCGCGTGAGTCCCCCGCCAGGCTGGCGCGGGGCGGGGCTCTACCCACGACCCCCGCCCCGGCCCCCCACCCCGAATTCCTACAGAACCCCACGTTGCAGCCGACGGGTGGCGAACTCGCGCGTGAGCGACGAGGGGCCTAGTTACCCCTTCACGGAGGCGGACATTCGCTTCGCGTTGCCCGCGAGGCCCTAGTAACCCTCTCGGGCTGCCCTCGCCGGGCAGGCGGGTTGGTTGCGAAATTCAAAGGGCCCGACCCCACCCTCGTCAACATCGCTGGTCCCTCGGGAGGGGACACGTGGCTCGCCCTCGCCACCCCGACCACCCCCACGCACGGCCCACACAAACCACCCACCTCCGCCCCTCCGAACCCCGCCCTCGAGGGCATGCCCGGTACGGGCCGAAGCCAGAGGCTCGCCCTCGGCCACGACGACCTGCCTCGTCCGCCGAGCTGCATACTAGGCGACCGACCCATTTCTTGATGGGGGGTCCCACTCCATCCCTCATTTCTCCTTTCCACCTTCGCTTTCCGATTTCCTCTGCCTCCCTGTCAGCTCTCCGCGCTCCTCCCCAAACCTTCCGTGATACCAACCGTGGTGTTAGCATGGCGACCAGTAGGATAGCACTACCTGCGACTGAATTCCCCCTCCACGTGCCAGTGGGCGTCGGTGGGTACGGGGTGACGCTTGAGATGAAGGACTACGAAGCCCTTCGCGACGAGAAGGCCGAGTTCACATAACCTTGCTTCGACCTCGGCCTCGCGTGAGCGCGCATCCCTAGGTCGCGCTGTCAGTTGTTTAGGGTTCAGCGCGTTTTCGTCGGCGTCCTTTCTAGGTCGACGTTGGCCTTGTCGATTTCCCGTGTGGTCGACGATGTCCATCCGCGATGGACGTTTTAGCTGCGTCGTCTTATCAACTAGTCGACCATTGGCCCTACGTCGGTGACGTCCGTCATGCTTCCGGCGACATCGCCGTCGTGCTTTACCTTCGTCCGGCATGGATTGTAGCTCACCGCGCAAGTGTTTCGCTCCCGCCTTTTCGCCCCCGCTTGTCCCAGGTACGAGCTCGATCGTCTGGGAAAAGGCGACAGCATGATCCTGATCCGCGGTGCGAGTCTTCGCGCCGCCAGGACGGCGTCGAAGGCGGACTATCTGGTTTTCGGGTCGGCCTTCGGCTTCGAAGCCCTCGCCATCCCCCTGTGCACCGGGTGAGTGTTCCGCGCCCGCGAGGTTTGATCCACGCCGACCGAGTTGCTTGTTGTTCCTGTACAGAACCCTGAATGTCTCCGTCGTGCTTGTGTGGGCAGGGGCGGACCTCTTCCCGGCAGGCACTGCAGCGTCCTGCTTGTTGTGCGCCCTGGCGACCTGCTTTTGCCCGACGAGGAGGAGATCGGGACGTTCTACCGCCACCTCGACCCCAAGACCTCCTCCAAGCGGCACGAGGAGGAGGCGGCCAACGTTATGAGGTGGGACAACGTCGACGGCTAGTCGCGCCGCTCTTTAACGGCGTTCATGCCGCCTTGTCTGATGGCTCTTTCCCTTCTCGTAGCGCAGGTTTTTCGCCGAGTGCGCGAAGGCGGAGTTGAACCGTGAGGGAAGGCAGTGGACGGCTGCGCCTCCTTCCGCCGAAATCCTCTCCGAACGTCTGGAGAGTCTTGCCGCCCCCATCCGTGATGTGAGTTTCCAACGTCCATGTCGCCTTGTCGCCTGGGCTATCGTCGTCGAGGCGTCGACTCACCCTTTTCGTCGTCGCCATGTGCTTCGGATGTTGATGCAGAAATTGCCCGACATCCTCAAGGAGGAGGTCGCCGGCTCGGGGCTGTTGGCGGTCAACGCGTTCGCGTGGTCTTTGGAGCATCTCGACGACGTGTTTCGCAGCTACGATCCGCTCATCGTCGAGAACCCGAAGATGGTCGGCTTGAAGGCGCTCCGACTGGAGCTGCTGCACCACGCGGAGAAGGCCGCGTCGAACAGAGGGGAGGCGGCGTCGACCGTGGCCCGTGGCGTCGAAACCGGCATCGCTATGGGTGGGGAGGAGGAGCACGAGAGGGAGGACGTTGAGGGGGGCGGGGAGCACGACGGTGGCTCGGAAGAAGAGGAGGAGGACGTGGAGCGTGAGGAGGACGACGTGGTTGTCACCGGCGAAGAGGAGGTAGTGCAGTTCGCCGGTGAGAAGGTTGCGGATATGGGCGGCGGCAGTGGACCCAAGTTGGGCAAGAAGGCCCGGGGCAGCAGTGGCTCGACCCCGCCTAGGATGGCGTCAAAGGCGGCTATCGAGCGTCTGAAGGCGGCGGAGAGGGAGATCAAGAAGCTGAGGGAGGAGAAGCTGGTGGCGGAAAAGAGGCTGGAGTTCCAAACGGCCCGGAATGACACGATTTACGGCGTGGTCACCTCGGCCGTGAACAAGCTCACTACAGTCGCCGAGGGCGTGACCCATCTCGAGCAGACGTCGGGGAGGAGCATCCAGCTGGCGGTGGACGCTGTGAGGGCGGTCGTGCAGGAGGCGGTGAGCTATCGCGGCTCCACCCTCGAATTCATGAACACGCAGTGGCTGCCCACCGTGCAGGCCCTGCACTTGACGGCTACTGCTGCACAGGGTAGGCGACGGGAGGACGACCTCCTGCTGCTTCGAGGTGTGGCAGATTCTCTCGGCCAGAACATCAAAACAGTCGTGTCTGCCGAGGTGAAGGCCGCCATGGAGGGCGAGGCGCAGCGGATCGCCGCTGCCGTGACTGCGAAGGTCGTCCAAGAGCTTAGGGACGACCTGGTGAAGGCGGTCACCTCCGCGACCCAACAGGGCATTGGCACCGCCGGGTTTAGCCTCCTCCCAACTGCTTTCGCGTCGGTGATGCACGGCGGTCGCGCAACCGCCGAGGAGAGTGGGCCGGCCCCAAGGCAGTCGGGGAAAAGGGTCGCCGACGAAAAATCCCTGACCGGCGACCAGACCAGCGGCTCTAAGCGAAGCAGAGGACCTGCGGTGAAACGCGGTGTGGGCGTGGATCCTCCTGCCCCTCCGTATGTTCGTATCCCCGGCGTCCACGACTTGCTGAAAGATGGACTTGGCGCGCGACCGAGCGAACATTTTCGACTGGTCGACGTCGCGCTCGAGGATCCTCAGTCGGTGGTCGGGAAGACCGGTGGGCAGCCCGTGGGGGACAAGCAGCCACAGGCCCCGACCGATCCGCCGAGCGCACACGACGCGCCACCGAGCTGCGAGCACGTGAGTCTGGCCGACGAGCTCATGGGTCCGGCGACTGCACAAGGCGCTCGACCGAGCGGTGGCACGGCCCAGACGGCAGACGACATGCACGTCGCAGCGGTGGTCGGCCAGGCGCGCAGGGAGCCCGTTGCGGTCCAGCATGTTCAACCCTCGACGAGTACGCCGACTGCGCGACCGACCGGCGTCACAGCGCAGCTGCCCGACGACCTCCTGCGCCCCGCAGCGGTGGTCGGACAGCAGGGCGGGCCGGCCGGTGCGGGCCAGCATCTTCACCCGTCGACGAGCACGCCGACCGCACAAGACGCGCGTCCGGCTGGCGTCACGGCGCTGGTCGACGAGCTCTTGCGCCCAGCAGCGGTGGTCGGACAGCAGGGCGGGCCGCCAGGTACGGGCCAGCATACCCCCACCGCGACGAGTTCGGCGACTGCACGGGACGCGCGTTCGGCTGGCGCCACGGCGCTGGTCGACGAGCTCTTGCGCCCAGCATCCGTGGTCGGATAGCATGTCCAGCAGGCCGCGGCGGGCCAGCATCCGCACACCGCGACGAGTCCTGCCACTGCACGTGACGCGCGACCGGGTGGTGTCACGGCGCTGGTCGACGAGCTGTTGCGCCCAGCAGCGGTGGTCGGACAGCATGTCCAGCAGGCTGCCGGTGCGGCCAGCTTACCCGTTCATGGGGCCATGGTCGCCGCGGAACCCATCCCGATCCCAACGGCTGTTGAGTCTCGGGCGGTCGAGGCCCTAATCACTCAAAAGCCATCGTACGACGAGTATCTGAAATGGCTCGAGGATCAGGGTCACAAAACCCCGGTAATTCCTCCGACTCACAGCAACCAGGTGGTCGACCAAGGAGCAGAGGCAGCGAACGTCGCGGCGGCGACTGCAGGGCCGAGTGGGTCAACGGTGGAGGCGGCTGTGTGGAGAGCGGCGGAAGAGGCCGGCGGGGTGGACGAAGAGATCCTCGCCAGCATCGTGATGCCGGACCCGGAAATCGAGGTCATGCGGGAGAAACTACAAGCAGCAGCTCCCACCGTGGGAGCGCAACAGGGTGCACCAGCCGCCTCGACTGCTCCTGCGGAGGACCATAGCGCGGCTGGCGCCAAATCTCCCCCGGCCACAACCGGTGAGGTCGGCGATGGGAAGCAGAGGCGCAAGGGCAAGGACAAGGCGAAGGGCGGCCCGCCGAAGGTCGGCTCTTCCAAGGGGACGTCCAAAGCGGCCGCGCAGGGTCGGAAGGGTTCAGGCGTCCGCGTTGACCCTTCAACTGGGCTGGCCGTCTCGGAGATGAAGTTAGGGAAAAAGAGCCGTTACATCTGCCGGTCGATGGACAAGTCCGAGGCCGCCTACTGCATTGCTGTCGCCGTTTCGTCGTTCGACGGCTTCGTCAGCGACGTGGTTCTCGACGAGTTCGGTGGGGTCAAGGAGGAAGTGATGGCGCAGTATAAGGCGGACTGGAATGTGGCGCGATTGATTCCGGGGGGCATGTGGATGGTCATGTGGAGCCGAGGGGCGAACGTCTTCCGCGACAGGTAAGCTTGGCGAATGCTCAAGTTGGTGCTCGTTTCGGTCGGTACGCGTGGGCCGGTCGGTGACGGTGGGTATTCCTGCTGTGTCTCGCAGGTTCCAACAGGTGGTCGCGGAATACAACAGGATAACCGGAGCCGACCGCGCAGCTCTCATGTTGGCTCTTTGCCCGGCGGTGTGGTTCGGCGACCTTCCGGAGTCGACCGAGCCCGAGAAGGCCGCGAAGAAGAAGGTGGCGAGCGACATGATCACACGCGTTTCGATGTGTGCCGCCTTCGCACCGGTGGCCGCGAAAGTGTTGCCCATTCCGGGCGTCGGGTCGGAGCAGTTGTCCGAGATCCTCGCCGGTACTGCGGCCGCGGTGTGGTGTTTTTCGGAGACCAATGCCACGGCGGAAGTAGCGGCCGGCGAAGGGGGGGCGGCAGCGACCGTGCGCGGAGCGTCCAACGAGTTCGCGAGTCGGTGTCGGACCGTCATCGAGGCGGTGCTTAAGCGGGCGGCCTCCCGGGAGGTCGTCGTAGGGGAGGTCGCCGAAACGGTGACGAAGGACCTGCAGGCGGCTGTGCTGAGGTCGCTGCCTGAGGTCGGAGAGGAGCGCGAGCACGACGAGCTGATCGCCCGTGTCATGATAGAGAACCTCGCCTTCTGGGGGGACTGCAATGTCGGAGGCCCGAAGCTCAAGGCTCGCGGCGTCGATTTGCCTATCGACCCCCAGATGAAGGTTATCATTCGGGACAGGGGGGCGAGGGGGCAGCAGCACAAAGGGAAGCAGGTTGCCGACGCCTAGGTCGACGAAGGCTGGCCCGCCTGCTCGTAGCATGGTCGGCGTGGGTGCAAACGCTGCAGGCTTGTTGACCGCTGTTTTGTTGTTTTGTTGTGCCTCTCCGGCTTAGTGATGCTGAACTTGTTCGTCGGTAGTTTTTCAGAAACGTTGTGACGTAGGTTTTGTGGTGTGGAGTCGGTTTGATGCATGAACAACGGACAAACTTCAACTAATTTACAAGTCGAAACAAAGTTGCCAGTAAAAGAAAACCATATAGAGTCACTAGAACAGGTCGGACACGCTCAGCACATCCCCAGCCCACCCTCAGCCCGCCCTCAGCCCGGCCTCAGTCACACCACGCTCAGCCAGCAGCACAAGTCGGACCCAGACGCAGTACCCTCAGCCCGCCCTCTTGCGCTTCCCTGCGCCGATGGCTCCCACCGTCGCCTCGGCCTCCAAGCCGGCCTTATTGGCCTGCTCATCCCACAAGTCGCCGAGAGCGTCTTTCCCCAGTCAGCGTCCATGTAGCCCGCCGTGACCACGCCCCACGCAACGGCGAGCTTCCTCGCCAGCGGCTTGTCCAGACCCTTGATGCCGACCGACTTTCCGTCGGCTGTGGTGGGGACCTTGATGGGCGGGGTTGCACGGAGGACCAAGAGCGCGTCGCTGAAAGTGGAAAGCCCCGCTCGCCCCAGGTGGTCGAGTAGCTTGATGACGGCGGCGGTGTCAGCGGCGTCGTCGCTCCGCCGCAAGTCGTGCACCGCTTCCATGATCCGCCTCATCCGGCGAGTGCAGTGCTGCAGCGCATCGTTTTTCCCCGTCTCACCCACCTCGGTCGTGGGACTAGAGCTCTTCGCCGACTTCGCCGACGCGACGGGTTTGGCGCCCTTTTCGACCTTGCAGATCATGCGCGTGTGTCTGACGAGGAATCTGTGCTCGTCGAAACGTTCGCGCAACGGACGCGAGTCGAAGTTGGACGGGTTGTTCCACCAGCGCCATGCAGCCTCGACCGTCTTGGATGTGCGCCAGGGATGCACGACGTTGACCTCGTACGTCAGGTCATCCTCCTGTTCCTTCTCGATCTTGACGGACGCTGCCTTCTCGGCGGCCGTCATCGGCCTTGACGGGTCGGGCGCAGACGGCGTCGGCCGTGCCTCGGCCAGCTTGAGAGCCTGCATCAACTTCGCGATCTCCGCGTCCTTCTCCTCCAACTTCTTCTGCATCTCAAGCTTCTCGATCGCGGCATCCTCCCTCTGGCGGTGCAGCATCATGGTGAGCTGGTCGACCTGATATTCGGCGTCGATTCGCGCGCTGAATTCCTGCGATCCAAGGGGGATGGTCGGCAAAAGGTGAGCCAATGTTGCAGGACGACTTGTTTTGCAGGTCGCCGGAACGCGCACGCCGTACCTCTTGGGGGTTCTCGCTCGGAGTACTGCGCGTCGCGATGGTTTCGAGGTCCACCCGGTTGACGTCCTTGGCCCATTTTTGGAAGTCGGGGTCGCGGCAGAGCTTGGAACTCTGGACGTACGGGTGCCACGGTTCGCGCATCAGCATGCACGCAAGATCCTCGGCGACGATTCGGCGGCCGAACTCGATGAGCGATTGCAGGAAGTGCACCCCGGCCGTGTTGGGCTCTCTCGCGGATGCGCATTTTACCGCCTGCGAGTCGAACACAAACACAATCAGCCGTCTGTATAATGTCGTCGTGGAAATGGTCGGCGGGTTGTCGGCGTTATTGCCGTCCGAAATGCTCACCTTGGCCAGTTCCGCTTCAGCCCACGGAAAGATGTGCTGGGCGATGAGGGCCACCACCTTGTCGTCGGGCTTCACCATGCTCCGGCCGAGGTGGTAGTCGCCGCGCTTGCCCGTGTAGCCGGCCTTTCTCAACACCGCCGCCTTCGGGATGGTCGTGATGTAGCTCTTCGCGAGCTTGTCGAGCGCCCAGTGGCCCAAGTCGGCGATGTCAGATCGCGGAACGCCGTCGTCGGCCAGCTCCTGTGCCCCACCCGCCCGGGCGGCGTGGGTGTTGCGCGTGATGAAGATGTTGTTCGTCCGCCACATCTCTTTCGTGATCCGAGAATGAGATGACGCCGGCAGCTCTTTTTGTTCCTTGTCGTTCCGAGCATGAAAGAGGTGCTTGTGATACCAGCTGTACGGAGTCATGAAGTCGAGGGGCGGCACACATCGAGAAGTGGGCGATCGGCTGAGCTGGTCGTACACGAAGTGCAGCCACAACAGTGTGTGACCGACGGCGCACATCTCTTGGTCGAGGTGTCTCGCCGCGTAGCTGTGATGCAGACGAGCATCCTTGTTCGTCTTGGAGTTTCGTGACGCGACAACCATGACAACCGGCCGTCGAGTGGAGTGCTCGGGCGACGCGCTCCCCATTCTGTACAAAAACAGGTCGGGGAGCTCGATCGCTCGGAGACTGGCTCCGCGGAGAAGGGTGTGGTGACCCAAGAGGGTCATCGTCTTCATCAGCAGAAACTTCCACAGTGTCTGGGAGGGGGTGGCCGCTTTGGGTTCGTACGCCCGAGCTGCCCAGGTCGGCAAGACCTTGAACATGAGGTGGCGGATCTGGTCGGTGGTGTACGTGTCGCCGAGCGTTCCGCGGTGCCGGTCGACGCAATCCCTGCACATCAGTTTCCACGAGGACTGGGTTAGCTGGGCGAACCGGGAAACAGGCGCGGGACGACTTGCCGACTTACCTGTCGTCCCTGTGCCACTTCTCTCTGACCATCGCGCGCACCTCCGAGCGGACCTCGGAGATGTCGTACATGATGTGGAGCTCCTTCACCCCGAAGAGCGTCCCCTCGACCTTGCAGGCCGTCTGGAGCGCTTTGATGCGGATGAGCAGCATCGAAACGGTTGTCGGCTTCAGGGGCTGGACACGGACGTCGGGATTCAGCTCCTCGAGCTCCTCGGCCTTTGCAATACCTTCCTGCCTCGCGATTGACAGAATGTACGCCCTGATCCGCGTGGCGTTGACGCGGGGACCGTGCATCCATTGTAGGTCGCCCTTGGCGGTGTGCCACTTATCACCCATGTCTTCGTCGATGTACCTCCCTATCTCGTCCTCGTGTTCCAGCACGCCGTCCCCCTTGACTCTGGCGGTTTGCTGTCTTGGAAGGTTCGCGCAGCACCATCTCCTGAAGTCGAGCAGCGCCCGCAGGTACTCAATCCGGGTCGTTCTCGCCTCCAGCGTGTCGAGATGCCGGAAACCCCACATCATCCTCAGCAATCTGTTCTTCTTGGCGAGCTCTTTGTTGATGTCGAAGGCGGCTTCCGCAAAATCGTCGCGCGGAATGTTTTGCAGGAAGGCGTCATCTTTCTCGTCGGCTGCCAACAAGTCCTCTACGGTCAGATACATGTAGTCGTTTTCTGGAAATGGTCCAATTGGCGGCGGCTGCTCCGTGTCCGAACGCGGCGAGTACCGGTCCGGCCCGGGTTCGGGAGCCCCTTTCGTCCCTGGCGGTAGGGGGATGGTCGGGTCGGCGGGAATTTTTGCCCTAGCGGCGTCTACGTCGACCACCATGTCGGCGGGAATATTTGCCCTAGCGGTGTCTACATCTTCCTCCATGAAAGGCTCGTTCAGGTCGGGAATCGCGCTGCTCCCCGCCGGCGGCGCGACGCCAGCCATCTCGGCGGGTAGAGTTGTTCCCGTCGGCCTCTAGTTGTCGCCGCGATCTCGCTGCGGTACGTGCTCAGCCCACCAAAGTCGATACTGCACAATCGCTGCCGTGTATTGCCTTCGCACCGTGGCCCTAAAGGCCGCCCGTCTTTCGGCCCTCTCAACGTTCTCGGCGATCGTCAACTCCGCGGCAATGTCGGTCAGTTCGGGAATTTCGGGAAGTAAGGGCGGCGGATTGGTGTTCTGCTGGGTGATGTTCGGAGTGGCCGTGGTCGGCGGCACAATGGTCGGCGGGGTGTGAAGTGGCAATGTATCGTTCGGCGGGGTGTTGTCCGGCGGGATGTTGTTAGACTGGTCCCTGACCATTGGAGGCCGCACGGGGGATCACCGGCGATGACAATACTGGTTGTGGGTTTGAAGAAAGAGGTCGGCGACTTTCGGTTGTTGTCGACCTAGTCAGTCGTCCTAGTCGGAATGATCCTAAGTCGGAAGCCCGTAAAGTTTGCCGACCTAAACGCACTCTACACCGGCGTGGCTCGTCGTCGACCCTGCACCGCGCGTGGTCGGTCGGTCTCCGAGAAGCGTGAAAATGAGCAAGGGAAATGTGGCCCACCAGAATGGAAATGAATGCAACGCAACAAACAAGTGTCGAAATGCCATGGACACTTGGCCGTCAGGGGGTCATAGCATAGAGAGGCACAGTCGCGGTTCGGGCGGACAGGTGTTGGCGGGCGATCCGTGGGCATGTCTCCAACTCTGCATGCAAGGCAGAACGGCACGGCGGCGCAATGGTCGACGTTGCACGGGGCACTCATGTCTTTTACGCAGCCGACCGTCCGGTGTTCCCGTCACGGTGAACCGTGCTTACACGTCGGCGTGACGCAGCAGTGCTCATGGCGTCGCCCGACGATGGTATCCCGCGGGGACGTTCCCGCCAGCAGGCCGGCGAAGGCTTGATCGCCGCGTGGACAGACGTTTGCCGATCGATGTTCGCCGCGTGGAATGTTGTGTTTCGGATGGGCGACGTGTGGCTCTGCGCGCCAGCGCAGTGGCCGGCCAGAAATCGCGGTGGGCCTCACGTCGCAGTCCGCGCCGATGGCTAGGTGGACGTCGTGGCACGCTGACCGCGACCGGCGTCGTGGAGGTGTCGACCTCGTACGGAGGGTCCGTTGAGAGGTGCTATCGGGGTATTTTTCATCGGGATTGCCGGGCGACGCAGGGTGACGCTCCTCGCCCAGGACGTGCACTCAGTTAGCCGGACAGGATGACGCAGGGTGGCGGATCCCTTTCCCGAGCCGCGTCGTTTTTGCACCCGGATGTAGTCGGGGCGTTGAGATGTACCATGCTGAAGCACTCCTTGCCGAGCCTACTCAAGTTTGCACATGCACACGTTGTTATGATTCCTCGAACATACCTCAACTGTTCAGCACTCATCATGATAAACCACAAGCATTGATGGCAGGGGAAAACATCAAACAATCCCCGTGAAATGTTTTTTCATTCCTTTTCCTTCTGACATTTTGTAGAGACGGCGAAATGGTGGCAACTTCAGCGACATCATGGTGACATGATTCAAGGGGGGAGAGTCTGAAACGGAGGCGAAATGCGGACCTTGGGAGGGGTCGATGATCACACCACGGACTGGAGAGTACGCAAAATAGGTGAGGAGGCACAGCGCGAGCGCGCCGCCAATAAATTCACGCCTGAAGCGGCCCATGGGCCCGGTCGAACAGCCGCGACGCACCATCTGTGCCTTCGCAACCCTCACGCGAACCTTGTGTTTGTCACACACTACGAAAAACGCTTCGCTCAACCTGCTCACGGCTAGAAGCTGCTATGTACTTCCTAGACTCCTGGTGGCTTGCTAGCAATCACTGGTTGCAAAAAGTTAAGGTCCCAGATATTGGTGAACGTATGAGCCATCTTTTAGTCGCGCTAATATTTAGCAGTTCGGTTTGGTACGTTTCAGGTAGGTCGCTTTGCAATCTAAATTGTTTCGAGGAAGAAAAAGAAAGAACCACGCGCCCACACGTGTTGACCAGGAACGACCACATAGAACCTTGGGGTTTCCGGATCGTTGACGCTGGAGGAAACCTGCTGGAGGAATGAGCTGGCAATCTGACCGCGGGACGAAAAAAACTAAACCCCATCGCGACCGGCATGCCTTCCATGTGGGGTTAATTTTTTTCCTTGCCCGTGGTCGGCTTTGCTGTGTCAGTCGACTGCCAGCGTCAGCTGGCAGTCGAATGAACCTTTCAGTGAGTTCGGGCAGGAAATTGTCCCTTCATGTCAGAGGCGTTGCTAAAATTCCCCTTTAAGAATCGCTTCGTATTCGCTTACAAGGAGATACAAAACAAGATATAATCATCCCGTAATTAGTCGGAAATGTTTACCTCGTAGCTGCGGTTGGGCAATCTCTGCAGTTTGGGAAGTGGTGTGAGTGAATGAGCATGGTCTGTACCTGGCAGTTTTCTTTACCTTGAAAAGGCTTGTGTATGGGGACCTGCATAATGAATTGCCTCATGCTGCACTCGTTCTGAAAATACAGAACCTCTGAATTTCAGGCTTTCCACTATCTGGGTGGTGGTGCTTTACCGTAAAATGACTCACAACAGAGCTTTTATTTTCTTCGTAGCGGCCAGGTGTACAAGTCAAACATGCGCTGCAATACTTTATAAGACACTCGTGGTAGGTGATAGCCCTCTGTTCTGGGCTTTGCTACACACACCAATCTTGACGAGTTGGGGCTAAGTCACACTGTTACAGGCCAAGGGCACGTGCCATGGCGTCTCTTGTCTCCTTCCCCCCTGCAGTAGACCCACAGCAGCTCCTCCCTCTACCCATGGCTTATCCTCTGCGCCAGCCCCGCCGCAACCATCTCCATCTCTGCCCAACAACCTCGGCAAGAGGGGGCACAGAAACGCTGCTACAGGCCAAGCGCACGTGCCATGGCGTCTCTGGTGTCCTTCCCGCCCGCCCTGCAGTAGACCCACAGCAGCTCCTCCCTCTCCCCGTGGCTTATCCTCTGTGCTAGACCCGCCGCCACCATCTCCATCTCCGCCTGCCAGGCATGATGCACAAGGAAGGCGGGGACAAGGAAGGCGTGGGTGGTTGGGGCGAGACAGCGGTGGAATGGGGGGCTTATCCTCTGTGCCAGCCCCGCCACAACCATCTCCATCTCCGCCTGCCAGGCATGACGCACACACAGGTGATGGGTGGGAGGGAAAGGAAGGGTCAGAGTGGGGAGAGCGGGAAGTTAGTGGCGTCAGCCTCGCTGCCGCCATCTCCATCTCCGCCTGCCGGTGTGCACTGTATGCAGGCATGGGCAGGATGGGATGAGGGGCGAGCGGAGGGGGAAGGGGGGGGGGGGGGGGAGTTGGGGGCATCCAAAAGGGGGCAACAGGAGTTGAGTGCGGTGGTGTTGGCCCCGCCGCCACCATCTCCATATCCGCCTGCCAGGCAGGCATGGCCGGGAGGGGGGGGGATTGGAGGGACGAGTGGGTAGAGGCGTCAGAGATGGGGAATTGGAGGGACGAGTGGGTAGAGGCGTCAGAGAGGGGGGATTGGAGGGACGAGTGGGTAGAGGCGTCAGAGAGGGGGGATTGGAGGGACGAGTGGGTAGAGGCGTCAGAGAGGGGGGATTGGAGGGACGAGTGGGTAGAGGCGTCAGAGAGGGGGGATTGGAGGGACGAGTGGGTAGAGGCGTCAGAGAGGGGGGAATGGAGGGACGAGTGGGTAGAGGCGTCAGAGAGGGGGGATTGGAGGGACGAGTGGGTAGAGGCGTCAGAGAGGGGGGATTGGAGGGACGAGTGGGTAGAGGCGTCAGAGAGGGGGGATTGGAGGGACGAGTGGGTAGAGGCGTCAGAGATGGGGGATTGGAGGGACGAGTGGGTAGAGGCGTCAGAGATGGGGGATTGGAGGGACGAGTGGGTAGAGGCGTCAGAGATGGGGGATTGGAGGGACGAGTGGGTAGAGGCGTCAGAGATGGGGGATTGGAGGGACGAGTGGGTAGAGGCGTCAGAGAGGGGGGATTAGAGGGACGAGTGGGTAGAGGCGTCAGAGAGGGGGGATTGGAGGGACGAGTGGGTAGAGGCGTCAGAGAGGGGGGATTGGAGGGACGAGTGGGTAGAGGCGTCAGAGAGGGGGAATTAGAGGGACGAGTGGGTAGAGGCGTCAGAGATGGGGGATTGGAGGGACGAGTGGGTAGAGGCGTCAGAGATGGGGGATTGGAGGGACGAGTGGGTAGAGGCGTCAGAGAGGGGGGATTGGAGGGACGAGTGGGTAGAGGCGTCAGAGAGGGGGGATTGGAGGGACGAGTGGGTAGAGGCGTCAGAGATGGGGGATTGGAGGGACGAGTGGGTAGAGGCGTCAGAGATGGGGGATGAGGATTTGAGTGTGGTGGTATTGGCCACCACCGTCTCCATTTCTGCCTGCAGGTGTGCAATGCACGCAGGCATGGAACAAGAGGTGAGAGCAGTAGGGACGGCGGTGTAGCATATGGCACAGCTCAGGCAGCGGTATGGGCAAGAAAGAGGCATGGGGACGTTGGACGAAATAAGGCGTTGCGAATAGGGCATACCGAGTTGGGAGGAGGGGGCAGGGTGGTGGCGATGCTGGCAAGGCGTTGAAGCTCCTCCTCTGCCTCACTGCGCCGATTCTGCTTCACCAGTGCCTGCCAGCATGCATGACGTGTGGTGCAGTGATGCATGGTGTATGATGTGGGTATGTAGCATGTGGTGCATGGTATGTGGTGCAGGGTGCATGCTGTATGTTGTGACATGCAATGTTGGCAGATACACTTATGGGGTTATAGCGTATTGCGCATAATCTCTAGAGTTTATACGAACCAGCCAAACACACACATGCCCATCGCCACCATACGCATCCCCAATCCCATAACTGGCGCTGATGAAGGCCTCACAGGCCGAAACGCGTACGCCTACTTAATACTTCTACTTTGAGACTGATCAAGTCCTCATTCATACCCTTTTTCCTAGTCCTACGAAGCAACCCACCCATACTTAGCTGAAAGTTTCAACGGTGACCACACGGCTTGCTGCGTTTCGAATCCTTCATTACTCCGCAAGAGGCTACCCTCGCTTTAACCTACCTCCCTTGACCCTGTCCTTCACCCGAGCCCACCCTTCACCCAGCATGCCTCTCACCCAGCATGCCTCTCACCCAGCATGCCTCTCACCCAGCATGCCTCTCACCCAGCATGCCTCTCACCCAGCATGCCTCTCACCCAGCATGCCTCTCACCCAGCATGCCTCTCACCCAGCATGCCTCTCACCCAAACCTGCCTCTCACCCAAACCTGCCTCTCACGCAAACCTGCCTCTCACCCAAACCTGCCTCTCACCCAAACCTGCCTCTCACCCAAACCTGCCTCTCACCCAAACCTGCCTCTCACCCAAACCTGCCTCTCACCCAAACCTGCCTCTCACCCAAACCTGCCTCTCAACCAAACCTGCGTCTCACCCAAGGCTGCATCTCACCCAGGCCTGCAGGAAGGAGGAGCGGGTGCGGGCAGCGAGGGCGGCGAGCACCATGGTGAGCGCGCGGGGAGAGGGCAGACGGACGGCTGCTGCCAGGCAGGCGAGGAAGAGTGGGATGTCTGCTGGAGGGAGGGCGGGGAGGGGGGCGCTGGAGGGTGGAAAGTGGCAGATGATGGAACAAGGAGAGAAGGTATTGGTGTTTCGATGGGAACAGCAGGGTGGGAATGGGCTGGAAGGAGCTATGGCAGGAGACAGAAATAGCACGGAGGGAGAACAGGGGAACATGAGGGGAAGCAAAAGGAGCATGCAAGGAGGCGAAATTAGTGGCGGAGAGGGGATATAATAACATTCGTGAGGATTCACCCAGCAGCATTGGAAAGGGTTTGATGCTTAAAAGAGGCTTGGGATGCAAGGAGAGCATGCAGTCAGTTGGTGGCGGACGAGAAGGCGGTGCGAATGGCGGCTTTGAATAGACTAATGATTTTAAGTTGGCGAGTGGAACAGCAGTGTGGGAATGGCAGGAAGAAAGGTCGTGGAAGGGTGGCTATGCCGCATGCGGGGGAGCATGAGTGGGAAGCATGAGTGGGGAGCATGAGTGGGGAGCATGAGTGGGGAGCATGAGTGGGGAGCATGAGTGGGGCGTGTGCAAGGAGGTGAAGGAGGGGCGGAGTGGCATCTTTCATTCTAGGCGGGGAGAAAGAGATCATCCCCAACAGCAGCATTGGCAGTGGCGTTAATGGGGGGTCTGCATCTAACAGGGGAGACTGGTGGCCATGGGAGGCGAAGGAGGCGAAGGGGTGAGGTGAAGGAGGCGAAGGAGACATGCAGTGACCTGGTGGCGGTAGAGAAGGGATGAGAGAGGAGTGCACCCACCCGGCAGCGGCAGAGAAGGCGGTGTTGATGGCAGCTCTGAAGAGCGCGTCGCGGCTGTTGTCCGAATCAATGCCCACCGTGGCCCCACTGCGACGATACGCCGTGTACAGCTGAGGAGGGAGGGGGAAGGGGGGGTAGGGAATACGAGTTGGGAGAGACCAGGTGTAGAGCTGAAGGCGCTGGGGTTTGGGGGGCGGAGAGAGGGGGTTGGGGGGGGGGGGGGGGAGGATGGTGAGTTCGTGGGAGAAGGTGTTTGATCTGCTCTGCGATATAGTTACGCAGTGTATGAGCAAGTGTCGGCTACTGTTTCAACCCATGGCCACTGTCTGACCCCATGGCCACTGTCTGACCCCATGGCCAGGGAATGGGAGGGTTGCAAGGAATGGGGTGAACTAACAGAGCATGATCGGTAGAGTAAAGGAGCACGCATATGTCACGTGCATGCCACATGCATGCCACATGCATGCCACACGTGCATGCCACACGTGCATGCCACATGCATGCATGCCATGTGCGCACCTGGAGAATGTCTGAGGCGTTGAAATCTTGACCCAACAGCCGCTGACTCAACATGCCTGGTGGTGATGGGTGATTGGGATGGTGCGGTAGAGAAGACAGGAATGTGGATGGTCGGAAGAGAAAGACGTTGGGGGGAGGGGGAGGGGGAAATGCAGCAGCAGGAGCGGGAGTCACAGGGATGAGGATAACAAGTGGAAAACACAGCAGGGAGGGACCACGCAGGTGGAGAATAGCCCTCACGTTGCACAACAAGATGCGCCTCCTCGCTGCCCTCCCTCGCCACGCTCCACGCCCCACCCGCTGCTGCACTCCCCTCTCTTCCAGCTCCTCCTGCTGATGCTGCGGCTGCTACCATATCAGGCGCTACAGCAGGCGAGGCGGCCATCCCTGCTGCGCCAATGCACGCCTCCCTCCACCACGCCGGCTCCTCCTGCCGCCCAGTCAGTCTCCCCGCGCGCCCTCCACTCCCCGCCTCCCCTGCCAGCAGCCCCAACGCCCTCAGCTCTCTCTCCGATCGCGATGTCTCCGCGGGTATATCCAGCGGACTCACCCCTCTCTGCCTCGCCCCTCCTCCCCTCCTCCACCTCCGCACACCCCCCTCTCTCACACCCATCCCTTTCCCTCCATCCCGCCCACTCTCCCCCCCTCCGCCCACCCCCTCCCACCACTTGCGCCACCCCTCAGACGCCACCACCTCCTTTCCCCCCATCGACCGGTCCCGCACCACCCGCCTTCCCCTGCCCCTCCCCCCGCCGCTCCCCCACCCCCACTCCCCCCAGCTTAAGTCCCCCTCCGCCCAGCGGAATCCCAGGAGGCGGAAGAAGAGGAGGGGGAGGGAGAGGAGGAGAGAGAGGAGGGCGGAGACAAGGGGGAGGATGCGGGAACGGAAGAGGAGGAGGAAGAGGAGGGAGGCGAGGAGGAGGAGGGGGCGGAGGGAGGAGGGGCGGAGGGAGAGGGAGAGGCGGCCAGAGGGGGAGACAGAGACACAGGAGGTGAGCGAGGAGAAAGAGCGCCTGCAGGTGGTGGGGGGGAGGGAAAAGAGAGGTATAGGTGGGGAGGGGCTGGAAACAGAATAAGAGAGGAAGGAAAGTGCGGCAAGAGGTGGACGAAAGGGGGAGGGATGTAGGAGGAGAGAGAGGGTGGAAGAGGAGAGAGAGGGTGGAAGAGGAGATGATGGAGGAGGAGAGACGCAAGCGACAGTGAAGGGTGGCTCAACAGAGAAGGGAAGGGAAGGCAAGGAAAGGCCTGCCCTCAATAGATGGAGAAAGAAGAGGCAAGAAAGCAGCAAGGAGAAGTTGCTCTCCTTGAATTCCACACATTCACACTGGCCTCCATGTGCCACTCACATTCACACTGGCCTCCATGTGCCACTCACATTCACACTGGCCTCCATGTGCCACTCACATTCACACTGGCTTCCATGTGCCACTCACATTCACACTGGCTTCCATGTGCCACTCACATTCACACTGGCTTCCATGTGCCACTCACATTCACACTGGCCTCCATGTGCCACTCACATTCACACTGGCTTCCATGTGCCACTCACATTCACACTGGCCTCCATGTGCCACTCACATTCACACTGGCCTCCATGTGCCACTCACCAACCATTGGTCTGACTCCGTCCCACCCCCCTTACCCCCCCACGCACCGCCCTACCCCCTCACGCACAACCCCACCCCCCTCCTCCCTCACGCACTGCCCCCCTCTCCCCTCACGCACATCCGCCCTACCGGTTCCTCAAGCCATCGCCTTGCGCCGCAGCCACCCTCCTCCATTCATCACTATCTGCGCCCCCACCCCTCTCCGCCCATCCGACCCCTCTCCGCCCATCCCACCCCTCTCCGCCCATCCCACCTCAACCTCACATCCCGCCTGCTCCTTCTGCCCGTCCTCACGCCCTTCCAACCCCCATTCTTCCCCCAATTATCCTCGCACACTTCCCTAGCGCCCTCCCCTTTTCCCCCTCCTTCTTTCCTCACCCTCTCGCGTCCTCCACCCCTCTCCCCCAACTCGCCCCCCTCTCGCTCCTTCCCCCTCCCCACTCTCTTTCCCCCTCGCCCTCACCGCATATTATCAGAAGCTCGCTCCCCCAACACCCCTGCTGACGTCAGCAACCGTTTACCACCGCTCTGCACCGCATCCGCCCCTATCTTGACCGTCTCCCCCACATCCTCAACCCGCAAAGTTTTCAGCCGGGCAGCTGCTTGCAGCGCGTTTTGTTTCACCTGCCCGAGATCCAGCTCCATCCTCCATACGTCTTCCTCCTCGCTCCTCCCCCCGTCGCCACTCCTGCTCCCTCCTCCGCCGCTTCGCCCACCCGGCGCCTTACCACCCCTTCCCCCTTCCACCCCGCTCCTCCCCTCCAACGATTTCAGCCTATCAGCAGCCGCCTTATCAGCGGCCGTCCTATCACGATCGGCCACGTGTCTTTGTGGCTCGGGCTCTCGTCGGCGGTGGTGTCTGCGACCATTGCTGGCAGCGAGGATGACAATAGCGGGTCGACGGGAAGATGAGCGGAACGGGACGATGCGAGACGAGGGCATACGGGAGAGAAACGACGAACGCGTGCGACATAATGAGTCTGTGCGACACTTTTCCGACTCTGTGCGACATAGCGGCTGCGTGCGACACGCTGACCAGTGGAGGGTTGAGGCCATGCTGAGGTTGTCTCTCAGAATGGGAACATGCTAGGTTCGCATGATATGCGGCTCTGATTGCGCGCAGGAATCGTCGCAGGACTCCTGGAGTCGCGATTTAACTCGTTGCAAACACTGGTACCAAGCGCACAGCAGATGACAGGAGACGGAGCGTGTTGTGGGACTTACATGTGAAAGAAACGGGCGTTCAACAAAAATCGCATGCTTATGCGCGTTGATACGAACATAGTCATAAACGCAGGAAAAAATAACAGTGTACAAAATGCTTGCGATGTAACGAGGACGGCTTCACAACTGAAAAACCGTGTCCCGCACTGGGTTGACCAATCAACGACGCGATGCCACGTTGTTGGCTGCTGCTCCACTCGAAAGCCAACATCACCACAGCTCAGCCGTACTGAACCCTGCTTGTCTCCCTCCAACACCTAAAACTTACAGATTACCACACCACACCTCCCAGAACAAGCCCCACCTTACAATTGTTGCTCGCATATACAAGCGTGACCTAAATTTGGGTATCACAGGTTGCTTGACTTGAGTCCTCTTGCCGTAGTAGCTGCCCCAAACAACAACTCCAGCAGTGCTCGTCGCGTGAAGTGAGCGAGGCGTGCGTGCAGCTCAAACACCGAATTTTGCGCGCGTCGATCGCACTCGAGCTAGTTGGCGCTGCTCGACCTGTGCATCCCGCGCGACTCGCTCATGATTCACGCGGTGCTGCGGCGACAGTAGCCATGCCGTACATCCGACAAGGTGCGCCTCGTAAGCTATTAGGGTTCTCAACTTGTGTGTTTCTTATTCTGCTCGACCTGTGCGCCGCACTGCTGTGGCGACAGTAGCCATGCCGTACATCCGACAAGGTGGGCCTCGTAGCGTAGCGTGCTGGCGCTCTCGACGTCTCTTGCGCGGATTTTATTTGTTACTGAAGGGAAGGACGGAGTGTCAGAAGCGAGCCAGAGGTATGACCCCACGCAACCGGCGTTGACTTTTGAGTAGACCAAAAAGCCACCTCAGCGGTGAGCGTGCGGCGAGGAGACGAATCGCAAGCGAGTGACCGTGTCGTCTGCGCTCACCGCGCTGCTCGCCTTCTCGTCAACCACTTCTTCCCTCACGGGAGGAAACTGTTGACGCTTGTCTCGTCGCTGCCTGCGCGCTCGTGCTGTCCTGCAGACCGCGGCCACCCGTCGTCACTCCGCCGCCCAGGTTCTCTCTAACCACCGCAGCAGCGCCGCGTGAACCATGGGCGACTCGCCCGCAACTGTCACGCTGTCCCCCGCGCCATTCCGTTCCCACTCCCACCACGCGTTTCTAACCTTTCCAGTATCCCACTGCGGTTGTCAGTGGGGGCCCTCCAGGGAAACCCACACACATCACGTCTCCGTCTTGCCTGTACGTCTACGTCTGGTTCTGTATAGCGCCGATGCGCGCACCTGCTCAATTGACATCTTCAGCAGCGCCTCTGCGCCACAGCCGACGCCCTCCGCGCTCGTCTCGTCGCCGTTCCCTTCCCGCGCGACTCGTCCTCCGCTCCTCCGCTCCCTCCTGCTCACTCTTGCATGCCTCATTCTCCCCCGCCCTCGCCCTGGTTCCTCCTTGTAGTCGCTTGAACGCGCATCACAAATGAGGTGTTCAGCAGGAAAAGGGGGAGGCGGGAAAGGTGGGGGACGTGAGGACTAGGGACCAGCGGTCTGGGAGGGGGACCATTGCACCGACCGCCTGCAGTGCGCACTTATTGTCAGCGACGCGGCACTGCACCGCAACGCACCACGGTTGTTCAACCCTGCCACCTCCCATGCCAACCTCGTCCTTCTCCCTGTTTCACCGTCCGCTTCCTCCCTCCCTCTACCTCCTCCCCTCCCCTCCTCTTCTCCTACCCTCCCCTCCTTCCCTCCCACCACCAGGCGAGGTGGTGGAGCGTTTGTCGCCACGGCAGCTCGCCACGTGTGTTGATCCTTCTTCTCGTTCTGTCCTCTCGCCTCCTTACCGTTCCTCATTTCCTCCCCAACCCGTCTCTCCCCACCAGGCGAGGTGGTGGAGCGCCTGTCGCCATGGCAGCTCGCCTTCTACGTCGACTTCTTCCGCCGCCTGTTCCGAATCATCAAGATGTTCTTCTACACCCTCTTCTCGGTACACTCTCCTAAGCTTTCCTTTTCCCAGTTTGTCGCCATGCTTTCCATCACAGTCCGCCTCTTCTATCGCTCTCTCGCCCTCGCATTTCCCTCGCGTTCGCCAGGTAATTGCTAAAGAAACACTGAAAAGCACGAGTGCAGTAGGGAGTGTGCTAAGGGAATGTTGACAGCAAATCACCCTTCTCCTTCTCGCCACTCTTGTGTTAGAAAAAAACCGACAGCCAATCTTGCGTAGAAATGGCTGTAAGCTGTGTTGGCGCAGAATTACTTCTTCATACCACTCTTCCCGTTCGCTGTACTCCCCCCTCTGGATATTCCCCCCATCCCAGCTTCTCATCATGCCCTCCATTGCAGTCCTCCTCTTTTCACTCCCTCTCGCCCGCCCTTGCTGGCCTCGCACTGGCTCGCTGCCAGCTGATCACGATAGAGTTACAGAGCGTCGCGGGTGCACTCAAGCTTGTGGTAACTCTAAGCAACTCACTCTCTTTCCTTCTCGTCCCCTTTTTCTTCGCCTTACCTCCACGTCTTGTGTGCATGCGCGCACAGCCTGACGCGGCGGGGGTCAAGAAGACCAAGGGCAGAGGAGGGGGGGGACAGGGCGCATGGGGGGGCAGCTCTGGGGGCGGAGGGGGTGGGGGAGGGGGAGGCGGAGGAGGAGGGGGCGGTCCTAGGAGGGGAGTTGGAGGGATGAGCAACGTGCGGGGCATTGACCATTGTGAGTTGGTGTATCGGTGGGCCATGGATGGGCGTGTGTGGATTCTGCACAGGAGGGATTCAGGGAAGGAGGGATGAGCGGACTCGTGATTCAAGCTTCTCTCTGCCAATAACTGCTTGCCACTTCTTTTACTCGAGCCCCCCCTTCCCTCCCTCCTTCTTCCACCACCCCGTAACCCCTCCTTTGTGGTTTTGTGTGCATGTCTGCTGTTTCACAATAGAATACCTGCTTCCCTTACATGCCCTCCTCCCGGTCCACCTCTCTCTCCCTTTCCTGTCCGCTTTCCACTCTCCCTTTCCTGTCTGCTTTCCACTCTCCCAGGTGCTTCTGCGGCGGGTGCCTGAGGTCGGTAAGGCACTCCGCCTGCTGCCGCTGATACCAGCCCCACTCAACTCATGTCATGAGATGGGAGGGTGGTGTCAGTGCAGCCACGTGCTCGTCTCATGTGCCGCTGCTGCACGTGCATGTGTGTGCGTGGAGCCACTCACACCACATGTGTTGTGTGGTGAGGCCATGGGCTTGAGTGCGTGAGGGTGGAGTGCCGCGATCTCGCCACCAGCAGCGGCTGCTGTGCCGGCTGCTGGCAGTGGTGGCTGGGCGGCAGAGTCAACCGCACATGCATGCAGGCAGGCATGGTTGCACCCATAGCACGGCATCATGCAGCGATGCAGTGGTGCCATGGTGTGACTATCATGCCTGCAGCAGTGCGGCCATGCGCAGTGTTCATGACGCAGCTGTGGGAAAGCCTTTGAGGGCACCACGGCTGCCGACCCATCACTGTGCCATGGACTGCTGTCGCCCAGACCGAGGGGAGTGTGGAGGGTGGGGTGGGCGCTGATGCCTGTGCTTGTGTTGGCCGATGTACAGAAGATTGGTGTGGCTGGACTGAAGATAGTGTAGAAATGATATGCGGTTCGAATTATGGTACAATATTGTAATGAAGTCATTGTGGAATATACTTGGCTGGTTTGCATCCCGTTCATTACTGCCCTGTTTGGGAGCAGCGCAATCAAAAGGATGAGCACAAAATGGGTGATCCGGAACTCGTCAGTAGGTTCCGAGCCAAATAATAATGAAAAATAACCACTTGCAAAATTTTGGAGTCTTCTCGATTATGTTTTGATACCCGCATTTTTTGGACATGTATCGGAGCAGGCACACAGCAGCCCAATGAACGAGCCCTCACTTCCACCTGGCGTTAGGCAGCAGTGCCTTCGCCGCGCCTTTCGTTCCACAGCCGGCGTGCTGAACAGCATAACCGTGAGCGCGGAGGTCACGCGTAGACGGCTTCGAGTGTAGCTCCCCCAGAATGCACGGCGCACTCAGCCTGGTGACCGGCACGGTGAACTCACTGGCAGTCGCACCACGCGCAGTTCCTCTTGTGCAAGCGAGCGCTTGAATTTGCAACCAGGGAGGCGCAGCGATGGTAATTAGGGTTTCCGGGATGTGACAACCTCCGGGAAGCGAGTATAGCTCGAAAATCTTGAATTCTCCATTGTTAATATTAGCAGCCACACGCTCCGCTAATGCCATCGGAAGACATTGCCGTGACGGCATTGCGCTATCAGCAGCAGCATTGCCGTGAACTACCCAGAAATTCGCGACTGTCAATGTGCCTCTAACACATTGCCGATTTACATGTTTGTGATGGCTGTCACGCGGGTTGCGGCGGTGCTGCTTATGGTCGCCGCCGCCGCCGTCGCCGCCTCCGCTGGTGAAGGGCCCGTCGCGAGCGGGGCGTTAGCGAGAGCGAGAGTGGGCGAGTTTATTGGGGTATGGCGGCGAAATGGTTCGCACGGTGAGGCGCGGGATGACCGTGGATGGCGCGTGGGTGGGAACGATGATGTTTGGAAGGGGTATGAGGTTGAAACGAGCACGAGGGGGGATGTCGTGAGTGATCGTGTGATTGGGGGATTACTCGAAGGCGCTGACAGTGACGGAGGTGACAATGACGGAGGTGACAGGGACGGAGGTGACGGTGACGGAGGTGACAGTGACGGAGGTGACAGTGACGGAGGTGGCGGTGACGGAGGTGACGGAGGTGACGGAGGTGACGGTGAGAGTGAAAGCGCTGATGGCGACGATGTGGGTGGGTGGTTGCCAGGCCGGCAGTCCCAGCTGGACGCGAGTGGCGGCGACGAGAAGGGGACGCGGCGGCGGTCGCCAAGGGGCGCGCGGTGGGAGGGGCAGGGGGAGCGGAAGCGGGAGGGGAGGTGGGAAGCGTCGCGGGGAAGGGAGGTGGTGGAGACACGTGGAGCTTCAGTGGGCGGAGAGGCGCGCAGGCGAGGGGAGGGCAGGCGAGGCACGGGTGGGCGACGCAGGTTGGCAGATGGGCAAGGCAGTGAGGGGGGTGGTGGCAGTGACGTGAGCAGCGATGGGCATGCGGTCATGCACGTGGGCGCGCGTGGCGGCATGGCGGGCCCTGGGGTGTGGGCGGACGGAGTTAAACGGCACACGCGGCGGGCAGGAGACAGATGTTGGAGCCAATGGGAGATGCGCATGTATGTCACGGTGAGATGCATGTATGTCACGGTGAGATGCATGTATGTCACGGTGAGATGCATGTATGTCACGGTGAGATGCATGTATGTCACGGTGAGATGCATGTATGTCACGGTGAGATGCATGCATATCACGGTGAGATGCATGTATGTCGAGGTGAGATGCATGTATGTAACGGTGAGATGCATGTATGTCACGGTGAGATGCATGTATGTCACGGTGAGATGCATGCATGTCATGTTTAGATTTCGCTCTTGCCTTTTCTCTTGTTTCACCGTTCCCTCCTCGCCTCTTCTCCTCCTCTTCCTGTCCCCTCCGTCTCAAGCCTCACTCACGCACCCATTCACCCCGCCCGTCTGCATGGCCTCTGCATTGCGCCTCCCCCTCTGACTTTTGAATCACCTCGTTGCATGGCCTCTGTGTTGCGCCTCCCCCTCGGGGTGCAAGGCAGCGCCCTGACCGCCAGCTGCCGCCATCGATGGCGTTGAGGCGGCGTCTGTCGGAGTACCGTCGGATGCACCGCCGCTGCACTCAGATCCACGACTGGCACGCCTTCTACAGCAACCCGTGAGCCTTCTACAGCAACCCGTGAGCCTTTTATCACAACCCGTAAGCCTTTTATCACAACCCGTGAGCCTTTTATCGCAACCCGTGAGCCTTTTATCACAACCCGTGAGCCTTTTATCGCAACCCGTGAGCCTTTTATCACAACCCGTGAGCCTTTTATCACAACCCGTGAGCCTTTTATCGCAACCTGTTGCTATTCCGCCCTTTGCTGTTGCTATTCCACGCCTTTGCTGTTGCTATTCCGCGCCTTTTCTGTTGCTATTCCGCGCCTTTGCTGTTGCTATTCCGCGCCTTTGCTGTTGCTATTCCGCGCCTTTGCTGTTGCTATTCCGCGCCTTTGCTGTTGCTATTCCGCGCCTTTGCTGTTGCTATTCCGCGCCTTTGCTGTTGCTATTCCGCGCCTTTGCTGTTGCTATTCCGCCCTTTGCTGTTGCTATTCCGCGCCTTTGCTGTTGCTATTCCGCGCCTTTGCTGTTGCTATTCCGCGCCTTTGCTGTTGCTATTCCGCGCCTTCGCTGTTGCTATTCCGCGCCTTCGCTGTTGCTATTCCGCGCCTTCGCTGTTGCTATTCCGCGCCTTTGCTGTTGCTATTCCGCGCCTTTGCTGTTGCTATTCCGCGCCTTTGCTGTTTCTATTCCGCGCCTTTGCTGTTGCTATTCCGCGCCTTTGCTGTTGCTATTCCGCGCCTTTGCTGTTGCTATTCCGCGCCTTTGCTGTTGCTATTCCGCGCCTTTGCTGTTGCTATTCCGCGCCTTTGCTGTTGCTATTCCGCGCCTTTGCTGTTGCTATTCCGCGCCTTTGCTGTTGCTATTCCGCGCCTTTGCTGTTGCTATTCCGCGCCTTTGCTGTTGCTATTCCGCGCCTTTGCTGTTGCTATTCCACGCCTTTGCTGTTGCTATTCCACGCCTTTCTCGCATCACCCATCTGTGTGTGCACCTATCGGCCCATCAATTGCTTTGTGGTGGGGGGTGGAGGGGGCAGGTCGATGGGGTGGAAGGACGGCATTGATGGGCTGGGGAACTGCAAGTATCTCTTCTATATGCCGCCTGCCCGCCATGGTAAGCGACGAAAATATATGTTAGCCGGTAGACATGATCACGAGTCGAGTCGAGTCGAGTCACCTCGATTCGCGGTCAAGTCGGGAGTAGCGTCGAGTCGAGTCGAGTCGAGCCATAGTCGAGTCAGTTTTCCGAAATTGCAGACTCGTGCTCGACTTCTGAAGTCGAGTCAGGCCTTGACTCGAGCACGAGTCATAAACTCGCAAGTCAGTCTTGACCCGACTTTACCTTTAAGCGTTGTCAAGGGCCCCAAAAGCTGTGTCATGATTCGTAGCCTGCATGCAAGGTAGGAATGCCGAAATTCCGTTTCTTCCCCTTTCCGCACAGGTAAATTGATGCGCACCCGAAATTGGGTGACGGGGGGATTTGCGTGACAGGCGGAAATTGAGTGTCGGGGGGGGATTTGCGTGCCAAGCGGAATGTGAGTGATGGTCGGAGATTCAGTGACGAGGGAAATTGCATGAGGAAAGGAGGGGGGATTGACAACGGGAACCCACATGGATAAAATTGGTGGCCCTCGAGTCAGCCGACTCGCCGACTCGTGGCTCACCAGACTGTCCAAAGTCGAGTCGGGCGATGCATCGAGATTTCTCCTCAATTCGACTCGACTCGACTCTACTCGAGTCAGGAAAAAAAAAAAACTGACTCGACTCGACCCAAAGTCGAGTCGAGCCAGCGAGTCGAGCTAAAACTCGCCTCAATTGATCATGTCTATTAGCCGGAGAGACACAAGTTGTTGATACTTCTCAAAATCTGATGGGACGAAGATAAATGTGGGGTCCCAATCCTGACTGGATCCCACGCAGCACCTGCTCCCGGCTATCGCAAGCTTTGCGCGATGCACCGGCACACTCGTTTGTTCTGTATGGTGCGCGCTGGAAATATGTGACGGCCCAGAGCTACTGGGAATCGTGGTGTAGTGTGCACATGCATGCGCTAAGAAAGCTCCCGAGAGCAAATGGAAGGCTGAGCGGGGTGCAAAGAAGCGTGTGAGAAAGCAGCTCAAGTCCGTCCATTGGTGTGTATGTAAGGCCATTATGCCACTGGTGAGGATGGTTGCTGGCGTCCTCTGCATGCGCCCCTCAAATCCCTTTCCCCACCTGTGCCGTGCCTTCCCCCGCTACACGGGTGCAGGGGTGGGCAATCGCATAATGGCGCTCGTCTCAGCCTTCTCCTACGCGCTGCTCACCAACCGCACGCTCCTCATTCCGCCCGACTCCTTCCTCTTCCAATTCTTCTGCGAACCCTTCCCCGCCTCCTCCCCGCCTCCTCCTGTGTGCTACATGTGTGCAGGGGTGGGCAATCGCATAATGGCGCTCATCTCGGCCTTCTCCTACTCACTACTCACCAACCGCACGCTCATCATCCCGCCCGACTCCTTCCTCTGCCGCTTCTTCTGCGAGCCATTCCCCGGCTCCTCCTGGACCATCCCGCTCGACGCCTTCAAGTGAGTCCCCATGCCATGCAAGCTGGGTGCACAGTACCCCATGCATGCAACCTGGGTGCTACCCTGTGCCTCATTACTGTTCTGCTCTGCTCTGCACCCCTCCGACTCCTCTGAGGTTGGCTCTGTACTTGTGTGCTGTGCTGTCCACCTCTAAGGCATGCACCGGGTCTGCACGTCCCCTCCGCACCGCTGTCTTTCGCATGCTCTCCTCACATGCTCTCCTCACATGCTCTCCTCACATGCTCTCCTCACATGCTCTCCTCACATGCTCTCCTCACATGCTCTCCTCACATGCTCTCCTCACATGCCCTCCTCACATGCCCTCCTCACATGCCCTCCTCACATGCCCTCCTCACATGCCCTCCTCACATGCCCTCCTTGCACGATTTCCTTCTTTCCCTCCCAATTACCCTCGCCACGTCGTGCACCCCATCACACCTGCCCCACCCCCACCCCCCGCCCCCAGCACCATATCCCAGACGGTGCACAGGTCGCCGGCACGCAATCGAGGCATCGTCGATGGATGGGATGGCCATGACGTCAGCATGCACATGTCATGGGAGTGAGTGACGTCAGCATGTACATGTCATGGGAGTGAGTGACGTCAGCATGCACATATCATGGGAGTGAGTGATGTTCAGGGTAAAAAGTTATGTTTGTTTTTCCTGAAATTTACCGTAAATGTGGGTATGGTACAAAACAGTCATATAATAATGTAGGTGTCTTATACAGTCGTCGAGCAGGAGGAAGAGTAATCCATCAGATTAATAAGCACAATTGTTAGCCTTTTCTTGCAAGTTTCCGTTTATAGCAATATTTGGAATTCTATCCGACGTCTTCTTTTTCTCTGTTTTAAAAAAGTGGCCGATATATGTATATAAAAATAAAAAAGTTAACTGTACAAAACGGACCTTATTTTACCGACATTTTTTAAACTTGGTGACGCCGGCATGCACATGTCATAGGAGTGAGTGATGTCAGCAAGCACATGGAGCTCTTGCTGCTGCCAGCATGCTGTGCATGTATTCTTTGTGGCTCATAAAGAGCAAACTCCATGGCGAGGCTCGGATCCCAATGGAGCAGCACCTGCTCCTGCTCACCCCGTGCATGCATGCTCTCCTTGCTTGCTCTCCACACCCCCTCATCCCCCCAATTATCCACTTCTCGCTGATCTTTCCACTCCCTCCTCTCCCCCCACCCACGGGTAGCTCCAAGGCGGACACGTGGGGCATGTTCTGTGAGGTGGAGCAGCAGGCCATGGCAGCAGCACGCTTCGCCACGCTCTACACCGACTACTTTCTCGTGCCGCACTTTTACATGGTGCCCATGCTGCAGGTAGGTACAGTGCCCATGCTGCAGGTAGGTACGGAGCCCATGCTGCAGGTACAGTGCCCATGCTGCAGGTACAGTGCCCATGCTGCAGGGTACAGTGCTACATTCGTTAAGGTGAGTTGCAAAGAGCTCATTGCAGCTGCACTTGTTTTGCTGCGGCTACTGCACCACCTACTACTACTAGGTAAGGTGTACCCAAGCTCACTTCCAAGCAGATCCTTTGAGGCGTCCTTTTTGGCTCTACGCCTCATTGGCATCAGCTGAGACGATTTTAGCCCGTGGTTGCGTGCGGCACAGCACCGGTGTGGAAGGAGAGGAACGGTTGCACCTTCTGATGCGGCGAGTACATAGACTGACCTCTATATAGCCGTGAGAGCAGGGTTACAGAACAGGCTGACGACTCAAAAGCGAGTTGCTGTATAAGAGAGAGGTGGCAGGGGAAGCTTCAGCAGACACGCCCGTGGTGATCTATGTTGGAATTGACGCGTCAAGAGTCAACGACGCTAGAGTCAAAATGCTAGAGTCAAGACGCTTGACGCTACTTTGGGATTTTCTTGACGCAGGTTTGATGCACTGGCGGGCAGCCTAAAACTTTCTTCCGGGCAGGGGGAAAAATTTTGTTGGGGGAGAAGATGGGGACAATGTGAAGGGGTCGACCCAAATCCTGAAATTTCCGGAGTGTGATTTTTATTTTTCCTATATTAAATAGAGTCAAGCATGCATACATAGATCATCACAAGAACTTGCATGGTTCTACCGATGAGTACTTATCACAAGTACTCACATGGTCCTCCTCCAACCATCCCACACCTCCCACTCTATGGCTCGTCAGCCATCAATTTCCAGGCCTCCTCTGGCTCCTCCTCCTCCGGCTCATACTCGTCAGCCAGCAAGTCGTCCTCATCCTCCTCCAGCACCTCCTCCTCCGCCCCCTCCTTGACGACATAGCCAGTAGGGATGGGGGGCTCAGGGATATTCCCCTCCATGACCCCCATCCCCTCCTCTGGACCCTTGTGCCAGTTGCGCACAACGTTCCAGTTGTGCGCAACGTACACGACACGAGGTCACGGCATTTTTCAGAGCTGAGCCTGTTGCGACGCGCCGTGTGCACCGATTCCCAAACCGCCCAGTTACGCTCGCACGATGCAGCAGAAACCGGCTGGGAAAGCACACGGCGTGCAATCCTCGCGAGCTCGGGGCATGTGCTCCCATGCCACTTCCACCAAAGCACTGTGCTCATTTTCCCCGCCTTCACCTTCTCCCGAGCAGCCACCGCATCCGGCTGCCCAAAGCTCCTCCCAACCCCATCCAGGTAGGCCGAAACCCCCTCCTCCAACGACATCCCCGACCCCGACGTGCCAGCTCCCTTCCTGTACTTCACCAGGTAGGAGTTCGCGCGGGAGATGAACTCCTTGAACACATGCGTGCACTCTGCATCCTCCCCAAAAATCTCCTCATCTTGGTTGGCCGGATTTAAAATCCGGCCAGCCACATGCAAGGGGCATGCCAAGGAGTGATCCCATCGCTCCTTGACAATGTGTGACACCTCCCTCTTTTCCGCCCTGCTCAGCTGCTGCTCGTCTGCATCCAGCACCGCCTCAACATCCTCGGTAAGTTAGAGCATGAGGTCGTACATACGACCCATCATGCCCTTAGCAGCCGAGTCCGTTGCCCGCATGGTTTTGAAAGGGATCTGCATCAGCTTCACGAAAAACGCTGCCCCCTTCCACCACGCCACATCCATAACCCAACTCTTAAACTGCTCCCCCGTCACCTTGCGCTTCCCCACCGCCCATCCATCCCAAACCTCACCAATGACCATCTGTGTCAGATGCGATTGCAGCTCGAGAAGGCGGGAAAGAGGGATATACTGAGTCCCAAACCTCGTTCCCGCGGGACGCAGCGGCTGCAGCACCTTCAAACCATGGAGTTCAGGGGTCCTCAAGAAAGCCCGGGTCCAATGGTGCTTGCGCAAGAAGGTGACAATCTCGGAGCCGCGGTCGACAATCTTCTTGGCCCAATTCATTTTGCCCACGTCCTCCATGAGCAGATCGAGTACATGGGTGGCGCAGGCCACGTGCTCAATGTGCGGCCATTTTGCCACCAACTTCCGACCTGCAGCGGCGTAGTTGCTGCCGCCATCAGTGCACAGCGCCACGACGTTCTGCGCCCCTACTTTCTCCACAATCGGCTCCAGGATGCTGGCAATGTAGCATCCCGTTTTTTTTACCATGCCGCAATCGACGCTCTCGACGAACATTGCGCTGTTGTCGTTGATGAGCATGATATTTGCCTGCGCACGGCCGCTCTTATCAGTCATCATATCGCTGCCAATTGTCACGCCCACCTTCGGCCAGCTCCCCGCGATTGGCGCCAAACCTTGTTCAATCCTCTTGCGGCATTGCTGCAGACCCGCACCTCCAACGTTCTTGCGCTTGGGCGGTACGTATCCGGTGCCAGCCTCCGCGACGGCCCGCAACATGTTGCGGAAGAGGACATGGTCGGCGTGGTGCTCGGGGACGCGCATAGCTGCGAAATACAGGCACACCAACTCATCCGCCCTCCGCTTGGCATCAGTTGCACCATCGTTGTAGAAGTCGGTAATTTTGCCTCTCTTTGACGGTCCACCGGTAACAGCATCAACTGCAGCTTCCTCTGCCTTGTGCTTCTCCGCCTTAGCCTCTTTCTTGTCCTCGTTGGCCTTGCGAATAGCATCGACAACCTCCTTAGGCGCTTTGTCGCAAAGGAGAAGCAAGCGGCGTCCTTGGCCTGCCCACGTAGCAAGATGGTGCGCACAACGTGTGGTAGACTGACCAAACGTGTGCTTACAATAACAACACTTGGCATGTTTCCCCTTAACGTTGGGAACGGGAAAGAAAAAGTAGTGCTTGTGAATAGGGTGCTCCAACATCTCCTCGTACTTCACCGTGTTACTAGATGCAGCCCCCGAGGCACTTGCATCAATGCTAGGAACGGCTGCTGGTGGTGAAGACGCCATAACCAAGGAGATAGAGGAAACAGAGGTAGTAGTTTAGAGCTGGTCGAGAGAAAACAGAGCTGCGAATGACTAGCGTGGCTGGTTTTTCAAGTTCTGGTTTGGTTTGGTTGCCTAGCTGCAAAGCGGTTCAATGTGGTGGTTGGAGAATGGTTTTGCACTGCTTTGGCCTGGCTTTGAAATTTGAATTTGCGACTTGATGTTTTGAGTTTTGCCTTGGCCAAGATGCAAGGCAGTTCAATGTGGTGGGGAAAGGTGTGGTTTTGTGTGGTTCAATGTTGCTCAATGTCGATTTGAAATGTGCATTCGCGATCTCGTCGAAATCGCGAAAGCAAGTTTTTTCGCGAGCAGAAAAGTTTCGATTTTGGGCTGCCCGAAAAAAAATTAGGGTTGCGTCAAGCGTTTTGCGTCAAATCAATTGCGTCAAAGCGCTTGACCAACCCTAGCCGAGCGTCAATTCCAACATAGGTGGTGATCTGCCCCGTGGTGATCTGCCCTGTGGTGATCTGCCCTGTGGTGATCTGCCCTGCTCTGTGCTTGCTGCTCCGTGCTGCCATGCTCTGTGCTTGCTGCTCCGTGCTGCCCTGCTCTGTGCTTGCTGCTCCGTGCTGCGACGCTCTGTGCTTGCTGCTCCATGCTGCCACGCTCAATGGGAATCATGCCTTCATGACTGGAGCATGCCTTCATGACTGCAGCATGCCTTCATGACTGCAGCATGCCTTCATGACTGCAGCATGCCCTCATGACTGCAGCATGCCTTCATGACTGCAGCATGCCTTCATGACTGCAGCATGCCTTCATTCAAGGTATTTGGCGGTGCTTGATTGGCTATCTCTCTATCACCACACCCCTCATTGTCACCACACTGTATTCGCCCAACCATGTCTCCTTTTCCACCCCCATCTTCTGGCTGCTCTCCCTCTCTCCATTCCCTCCCTCTCGCACCGCACTCCCTCCATTTGCCACGGCAGGTACAGCTCGACACCCTCTTTCCCGATCGACGAGTCTTCACCCACCTTTCTCGGTCAGTTGTCGCCCATCCCTCCATTCGTAACATCCCCCACCTAGCTGTTCTGCTCCACTCCCACTCTGAAAATTTCATCTAGGCCTATGACTTTGTGAGCCTTTGTATGTGCCATGCGGGTGCTGTGCATGTGGCATGTGTGCACTATGCGTGTGGCATGTGTGCTCCATGCGTGTGCATGTGCGGTGCAGGTACCTGCTGCACCCCGCCAACTATCTGTGGGATCGCATCACCCGCCTCTACCACGGCCACCTCGCCCACCACTCCCTCACCGTCGGCCTGCAGGTCCGCCCAGGGAGTGAGCAGAGCAGGAGCGGGTTACGGGGAAGGGAGGGAGGGGAGGGGGAAGTGGGATAAGGGAAGGGGAAGGAGGGTTGGAGTTGGGTGGGAGGATTGTGTTGGAAGGATAGGATGGGAGGTTGGAGAGGAGGGAATGAACGAGAAGGGGAATGGGGGATGCGGGAATATGACAGGAATTAAGACAGGAGGGATGGATTATGAGACTAGGTTTTGAGTTTATATGTTTTCACCACATCTTTATGCCTACACGTTTTGTCATCCGTATGCATGCTTGTGTGTGCTCTCATGGGTGCGTGAGTGAATGTGCGTGTGTGTCCGTGTGTGTGCGTGTGTGTGCATGTGTGTGCATGTGTGTGTCCATGTCAGATCCGCGCGTTTGAGGAGACCGAGGAGGATTTGATGGTGAATGTGTTTGAGTGTGCCACCAACATCGCCAGAGTGCTGCCACCTGTCATGCCCACCGACCAATGGCGCCAAACCGCTACAGCTGTGAGTGGCACGTGGGGAACGCAGCTGTGAGTGGCACGTGGGGAACGCAGCTGTGAGTGGCACGTGGGGAACGCAGCTGTGAGTGGCACGTGGGGAACGCAGCTGTGAGTGGCACGTGGGGAACGCAGCTGTGAGTGGCACGTGGGGAACGCAGCTGTGAGTGGCACGTGGGGAACGCAGCTGCTGCTTCCATGGCGTGGGGACTCTCTCGTTCCATGTAGCTGTGGTCCGTCCTGTCTTGCTCTGGATGCAAGCATACTGCAGTGAAGTGAACCAGCTCTATCCCATGCGGAGGCAAAAGGGGCACTCGTGAGGCGCTCCATGATTGGACCTCAGCACGTGCACCAGTCACCTCCATGCACTCCCCCCATGCCCTACTCCCCATGCCCCACTCCCCATGCCCCACTCCCCTCCCAATGCCCCACTCCCCATGCCCTACTCCCCATGCCCCACTCCCCATGCCCCACTCCCCATGCCCCACTCCCCATGCCCCACTCCCCATGCCCCACTCCCCATGCCCCACTCCCCATGCCCCACTCCTCATGCCCCACCCCCACGAACGTGCACCACCCACCCCGGGCGCCACACAGGTGACGGAGGAGGCGCTGCTGGGCGTGCGCGGGCGCAGCATCGGGGCGCTGGTGGTGTCGCTCAACCCCACGCATGGCGCCAAGCTGCGCGACCGCTACATGCTGGGCAAGCCGCTGGACGGCAGCACTGTGTCCGTCTTCAGGTGCGCTTAGTGTTGGTGGTGCTGGTGATGTCGCTGGTGGTGTCGATGGTGGTGTCGCTGGTGGTGTCACTGGTGGTGTCGCTGAACCCCATGCACGGCGCCAAGCTGCGCGACCGATACATGCTGGGCAAGCCGCTGGACGGCAGCACTGTGTCCGTCTTCAGGTGCGCTTAGTGTTGGTGGTGCTGGTGATGTCACTGGTGGTGTCGCCGGTGGTGTCGCTGGTGGTGTCGCTCAACCCCACGCACGGCGCCAAGCTGCGCGACCGATACATGCTGGGCAAGCCGCTGGACGGCTCCACCGTCTCCGTCTTCAGGTGCAGTGCTACCCCACACCATCTACGCTTTGTGCACTGTTCTCTAGCTTTGGTGCCAGTGTATCAGACAGGACGTTCTCTGCTTTGCTTACACAGGGGTTCACATGCCACTTTTGTGCTGTGTGCTTGCATGCGGGAATGGCTTTCATGTATTCATGACAGAATGGAGCATGAAATGAGCAAGGCATGTCATCTTTTTTACACAATCTCCCACCCATGCGTCATCTCCTGTGCACCATCGCGCATGCATGATGCACGTGGCAGTGTGAGTGGCGAGGGTGAGGAGAAGCAGGACGACCTGCTGCAGTACGAGCTCGCCGTCACTGAGATGTGGCTCCTCGCTTTCTGGTGCCCCCCCGACACCCCCTCTCCGCCCTCTCCTTTTCCCCCACTTCCAGCCCCCCTCCGCTCAGCCTCACATTCCTCCTCACCTCCTTGATTACTTCTTGCACCCATCTACCTTTAGCATCGCTCACATATGTGACTGATCTGCGACTCTTCTCACACCTCTTCACTCAACCCTCTCTTAACACCCATGTACCCCTCAACATTGATCTCTCTCACGACTGATTGGTGGTGGTTTCCTTCCCCCCCGCGCCCGTGCGGCCATACGCACCTGTGGTGCTGCCATGCCAGCGATGTGCTGCTGGTGACGGACACATCAACGTTTGGGTACGTGGCGGCGGGGGTGGCGGGGGTGACGCCCTACACCATGAACGTGGCCAAGTGGAAGCACAGCGACTGGCGCTCCAACGGCCGCCTCGCCTGCATGCTCGGCTCGTCCGAGCCCTGCTACGTGCACAAAGTGGAGGAGCAAGTGCTGGTGAGCAGATGAGCGTGGGGAGTGTGGTTGTCATTGCTACCCCATGAGGCCATGACAGGGTGTTGCGAGGGGGGACTCCTCCGAGCCCTGCTACGTGCACGAAGTGGAGGAGCAAGTGCTGGTGAGGGCGTGGCACTGGGGAGTGCGCTTGTGATTGGTACCCCAGGAGAATGTCTTCAACTGTGAATGACTAACCCATGCACACATGCCCTAACTGTGCATCTCTTTTCGTCTACCCTTGCCTCCCACCATTGATTTGCCCCTACTTCTCTCCACCACACATCTCACCACTCCTCAACCCCACCCTGCGTCCCCTCCCCTCCCTGCAGTGTCCAGGAGAGCCAGAGAAGCGGCCGCTGGAGAACATACCACAGACGCGGGCGTGCCACGCAACGGGCGTGGGGCTCACCACCAACCTGCCGATGCTGCCGCTGCCCTCCCAGCATGACGCCTTGGAGGGCGCACAGCCAGCTCATCCACCTGCCTCTAATGACCCTCTGCCTGCTGCGGCTGCTGCCTCTGATTCTGCTGGTGGCATGGGTGCAGGGTCAGCAACAGCAGGGCAGGGAGAGCGAGAGGGGGATGGCCGGGGTGAGCAGCGGGAAGGGGAGCAGGGTGCAGGGGATGCAGCGGATGGTGGTGACTCTTACTATCTGGATGAGGAGCACGCGTGAGGGAGGGGAACTATGGCTGTAACTCTGCTTGTCAACAAGCATTGTTGTGAACGAGCATTGTTGTGAACGAGCATTGTTGTGAACGAGCCTTGTTGTGAACGAGCCTTGTTGTGAACGAGCCTTGTTGTGAACGAGCCTTGTTGTGAACGAGCCTTGTTGTCAACCAGGGCCCAATATTGGTTTTGGGGCACCTTTAGGGATCAGGTTGCCTTGATGACGAAACCTTGTTGTGAACGAGCATTGTTCTAACCTAGGGCAGTGAGCTTCTTGCAAGCGCTTGTGTTTATTTGGCCGTTTTTTTTTTCTGTTTCATCTTCGCTTGCAAAGTCGAGTGAGGAAGCGAGGCGAGCAAGATGCATCAAATGAACAATGCACGCGTGCATCATGCATGACGTGCAGTGCAATGGCGTGTGGAGCATGGTGGCTATGTTAGAACGTACCATGTAATGCATGACGTGCGGTGTAGGGTGCATGGTGTACGTAATATCCACACATCATCCTCAAGAGTTCATCAACAAACACAGTACCGTACATCACAAGATCAACATACATTCCATTTGCACGACTACCACTCGTCGAAATTCACGGACGCATAGCCGGCATAGAGCCGTCCACTGGTGGCCTTGAGCTCACTGATGAGCCGGTTCCAGTTGGAGCCCAGCGCCCCCACAAAGAAATCCGCCTGCGATGAGATGAGCAGGTTGGCCAGGCTGATCCCGGCCAGCTTGGCTACTCCTGCCGTCTGCTCGTACTCAAATATGGAGGTTGTGCCGTTTTGTCGGGGGTTTGTCGAGTAGAGGAAGGCCCAGTCCTTGTATTGCTGTGACTGGTCTATCACGCTCTGACAGGGGGAGATAGAAGGGAGGAGAGGGAGGAGGGTGGGTGGGAGAGCGAGAATGAAATGCGATGATTGTTGGGTTAACAACTGGAGTAAAGGAAGGTCCAGTCCTTGTATAGCTGTGACTAGTCTACCACTACCGCGCTCTGGAAGGAGGAATGGTGAGGGGGGGGGGGGGGGGGGAGAGGGAGAAGAGGGGTGTGGGGGAGTCAAAGAATGAAACGAGATGAACGGTGAGTGAATTAGACAACTGGAGCAGAACGAGGCTTGGTTCTTGTGTTGATGTGACTGCTCCTCCACACTCAGCGGGGCGGAGAAAGGGTGGCCACGGGAGGCACAAAAGACTGGAAAGTTGGCATTATAAGGACAGACAGGGGAGATGTGTGAGCCTTATAACTGCTGCAATCGATCCATCATCCTTCCATTGGAGGAAGGAAAGAGGGAGGAATGTGTGCGCCGGAGGGGGGACATGGGGAGGAGTGAGTTGAAGCGCGACGAGGTGAGACGACAAGGCAAAAGAAGAAACGAACAGCGAAGAATTTCTGGAAACAAGCTCAAACCCATGCAGCATAGGTCCCTGGCTGACCTGCATTTCAGTGCTGAGCCAGACGTATTTGAGGAACGGTGCCCTCCGTCTGAGCCTATTGGCCATGAACATGAACGAGGGGAACGAGATGAGCCGCATCTCGCCCGCCTTGTCCCCTTGCCGCACGTGCATGCTCACAATCGGGCGCGGGATATACGGCTCCCCGCCCACCCCCTCATACACCGAGTCAGCCGCGTGCTTTGGCGCCTCCGGATCCGTATGGTTGTCCAGCGAACACCCCGCATAGTCCAGGCCCGGCCAGACCTCATTCTCGAGGTTCGGCGCGGAGAAATTCATGTGTGAGAGCGTGTTGATCTCCTGCCCGTAGTTAATCGCGAGGCCCTTGTGAGCATCATCAGGCCTGAGGGCTTTGATGATGGCTTCCTGCTCCGCTGCCGCCTTGACCATGTGGATGGCGATCTGCTGGCCGTACGCGTTGTGGCGCACGCGGTTGGTGATGTGGCACATGTATGCCGACGGCCAGCGCAGCATGAAGCGGATCGCCTGCGCTCGCCACCAGTGCACCTGGTGTGGGTGGGGGGGGGGGGAGGAGGGGGGATGTAGGGGTGAGAGGAGGGAAGAGGGGAAGGTGAACTTCGAGTCGGCACTTCGAGTCGGCTCAAAAGAGAATAAGGAGCAAGAGGAGGCCTGTGGGGTGGAGTGGAAGGAAGTGGAGTGGAGTGGAGTGGAGTGGAGTGGAAGGAAGTGGAGTGGAGTGGAGTGGAGTGGAGCGGAGTGGAGTGGAGTGGAGTGACGAGGACTGGACTGGACTGAGTGGGTGAATCTTTGAATCCTTGAAAGCGTGCAAGAGCCGTGCGTGCAGAGTAGAGAGTGGCCCGAAACGCAATGCAGAAAGCCATGGACAGGACAGGGCATTGGGTTGCATGGAGCATACGACTTTCACCACAGTACAGTTGAAAACCCACCCGTCACTGCATGGGGTGTATCGGCTGCATGAAGCGCATCAAGTCAAGCAAACACCATACCCAGCGTCTCACACACACTCCTGTGCGTTGAGCCGTCACATCACACACCCCACCTGTGGCCATGACATGACATGCCCACCTGTCGCTGGCCGGGGTTAACTGGCTGCATGGAGCCTGTCAGCTCCACCACGTTGGGCCGCTGCAGGTACGCGTCGCCCCACTCCCTGGGAGGGACGGACAGGGTTACCAGCACGGGGGCAGGAAAGGAAGAGGGGAGGACAGGGGCAGGAGCCCGGGAAATGTGTTGAGTTGAATCAAAGAGAGAGGGGTTATTCTGAGTCGGATTAAGAAGTTGTAAGCTTCACCACCGATGTAGGTACGTGTGGTCCAGTCCAGTTCCCTAGGAGGGGGGGAGACAGGGACAGCGGCGAGGCCTGGAGAGGGGGAAAGTGGGAAGGGAAAGGGGAAGGGGAGCGGGAAAGGGAGCGGGAAAAGGAGGGGGAAAGGGAGGGGAAAAGGGTAGGGGAAAAGGAGGGAGGAAGGGAGGGGGAAAAGAAGGGAGAAAGGGAGGGGGAAAAGGAGGGAGAAATGGAGGGGGAAAAGGAGGAAGAAAGGGAGGGGGAAAAAGAGGAGGAGAGGAGAGCATCGCACGTACCATTGCAGCCTTTCAGCAAGGCGCCTCTAGGGTCAACTCAAACGTCCCAGCAACGACTCATACGCATCCTTAGCGCACAGCAGGAGGCTGTCTGCCTGGCGGGATGAATTTCTAGGGCGGCCAACCCAAGTAGCTGCGGTCCGTCCACGTTGGGGGAAGTACCCATCTTCGATTGACCCGCCTCCTCTCCTCATCACATCACAGCCGAGACAATTGTCATCTCGTCCTCCTTGGCACGCGCACACCACAAGCTGTCTGCCTTGAATGGGGGTGCCATGCCATTCCTCCCTGTAGCAACCTTATTACAGCAACCACCCACCCTCACGCACGCACCTGGCAGCGTCCGACCTTAATCGCCAAGGTGATTGTCGTCCTGGGCCGTCAGACTTGAACCCTCCTCCCAACAAGAAGCTGTGCTCCATCCACCTTGGGGGAACTACCCATCTTGCCGCCTCCTCATCACAGCCAAGAAAGTTGCCATCTTGCCCTCCTTGGCAGCATACCACAAGCTGTCTGCCTTCAATGTGAGCGCCATTCCTCCTTGTAGCAACCTTTTTACGACAACCACCCACCCTCGCGCACGCACCTTGGAGTGTCCATCTTAATCGCAAAGGCGGTTGTAGTCCTGGGCTGTCAAACTTGAGCGCGCCTTCCCTTCCTGCAACTGCCCGTCACTTGTGTCAAATCTAAGTAACCCTCCTCCCAACAAGAACCGCCCACCCTGACGCACCTGGCAGCATCCCCCCGCAAGCGAAGGCGGTTGTAGTCCTCGTCTTTAGCGCACACCACGGGGCTGTCAGACTTGAGCGCCCCTTCTAGGTCCCGAAAATCAGGGCACGGCGGGATGCGGCCTGCCCGGTGCTCCGCCATGGCTATGTCCTCACACTCCTTGGATACCATGCGGAAGAAGTAGCACTCCAAGGTTGACGCCTTGCCTATGGCTGGGCGCGGTAGGTTGGGGAGGAAGGAGATGGGGGGGGAAGGAGATGGGGGGGGAGGAGATGGGGGGGGAGGAGATGGGGGGGGGAAAGGAGGTGAGGGGGGAAGGAGATGGGGGGGGGGGGGAAGGAGATGGGGGGGGGAAGGGGGAAGGGAAAATAGGGACGGGGAGACAGACGGGGAAGGGGGAAGAGGGAAGGGAGGGGGAAGGAGGGAGGAAGGGGGGAGGGGAAAAAGGGAAAGGGGAACAGGGAACAAGGAACGGGGATCTCGGAAGGGGGAAGGAGGAAGGGAGAGCAAGTGATAGGAAAGGAAAAGAAGGAGAGAAGGGGTGAAGGGGTGAAGGGGTGAGTTGGCAGTCGTCGCAATCCTTGCCCCACCAAGAGAGAGATGCAGCACCCACACATGGCCCCCTTGACCAGTGTGGAAAAGGGGGGCAGAGAGTGCACACATGGAGGTGCGAGGGCGAAAGAAAGGAGCATCTCGATGTGGTCATGGTTACCACTCATTCATGTGGCCCCTCACGTGTACCTCCCCCACATGCTGGTGCCTTGCAACCCACTCGACGCCCGCCCACTTTACCACCCACCCACCCACCCGTCTACTTAGCCGCCCACCTCACCCACCAACCCGCCCACTGACCCACCTCCCCACCTTGGCACTCGGAGTGGTTGGCGCGCATGTAGGTGCCGGGCATGGGCACGAAGGTGCGGTTGTAGCTGACAGCGAGGCTGAAGAGCGCCGTCATGATGTGCAGCTGCGACCCCAGCCCGTGGCGCTCCAGCGGCGACCACTCTATCAGCACCAGCCTCCGCTCCTTGCATGACGCCGGGAACTGCCGCTCCCACAGGTCGCGCTGCGCCCGCCGCGTTGCTGCCAGGTTGCCCGCGTCGGGGCCGCGGATCTGGGCGCGGGGATGCGTGGGGAGGGGGAATTCGGGGGGTTGCGGACGAGGCGGACGGGGTGAGGGGAGGGATTGCGGTAGGGTGAGCGGGGAGGGGAGGGGAAGGGGGAGTTTGCGGACCTGGGGAGAGGGGGGTATTCAGGGGAGGGGGA